ACTACACTAAGTTGTTGTCGGACTTGGCGAATGTCGATGAGAAGATATCGGATGAGTACAAGGCGATTATTTTATTGGGCTCCTTACCCGATGACGAGTATGATACCTTCGTGCTCACTTTGTTGAACGGGAGATCTTCTATCAGCTATAGTGAAGTGACTAACGCTTTGACCAACTATGATTTGAGGAGGAAGGATAAGGAGACTTCCCGCGCTAGTACTTCAGGACAGGCCTTGTCGATGAGAGGTAGAAGCCCATATCCGAAAGATGGTAATAGAGGAAGGTCAAAGTCAAAAGGCCGCCACCAATTAGTAAAGAACCAATGTGCATTCTGCAAGGAGCAGGGACATTGGAAGAGAGACTGTCCGAAGCTCAAGGAGAAAGAGAATGGCAAGAAAAAGGGCCCGAAGGCCAATGAGGTGAATATTACGAAAGGCAATGATTCCGATGATTCGTGCTTTTCTCTACTGATTACTCCGGAGGTGAACCATGTGGATGCATCAGATTGGATGCTTGATTCCGACGCTACTTTTCATGTGACCCCTAGGCGAGACTGGTCTGAATCTTTTGAGAAAGTCAACGGGGGTGTTGTTGTCATGGGAAATGATCAATCCTGTGGCATTTGTGGGATATGTACCGTACGGATTAGGATGCACGATGGAGTAGTCCGTGAGTTGAAGGAGGTGAGATTTGTTCCTCAATTGAAGAAAAATCTTATCTCAGTTGGAGCTTTGGAGGCGAAGGGATTCAAGGTGACTTTTGAAAACGCTGTAGCGAAGGTTACTAAGGGGTCATTTATGGTGATGAAGGGAGTCCGCAATCGGAATTTATATTATTTGAAGGGAAGCACCGAGATTGGCCAGGTTGCTTCGGCTATTTCAGAAGCGTACATGAGCAGACTTTGGCACTATAGGTTGGGGCATACAGGTGAAAAGTTACTGCAGGCATTGTGCAAGCAGGGCTATTGAAGGGAGCCAAGAGTGGGAAGATTGAGTTCTGTGAGCACTGTGTTCTTGGCAAGAAGACGAAGGTGAAGTTCATGATTGCCATTCATCAGACGAGGGGTATCCTGGACTACGTGCACACAAATGTTTGGGGTCCTACCAAGACTGCATCATTTGGTGGTCGACATTGGTTCGTCACTTTTGTAGATGACTATTCTAGGTGTTGTTAGGTGTACACCATGACGAAGAAGAGTGAAGTCCTAGATTTGTTTGTGGAGTGGAAGAAGAGATTAGAACTACAGACGGGGAGAAAGATCAAGACGTTGCGATCCGACAACGGTGGTGAGTATACTTCTGACCCCTTTCAGCAGCTATGTCGAGACGAGGGCATAGAGAGACACTTCACAGTTAGTCATACACCGTAGCAAAATAGGGTGGCAGAGAGGTTGAATCGGTCTTTACTGGAGAAGATCCGATGCTTATTGTTACAGAGTGGTTTAGAGAAGATCTTTTGGGCTGAGGCACTTACATATGCGAACCACCTCATTAATAGGCTGCCTTCATCAGCGATTGAGGGGAAAACCCCTATGGAGATGTGGTCGGGAGAGCCAGCACACGACTATGACCAACTCAAGGTATTCGGGTGCCCTGCATTTTATCATGTGAGAACTAATAAGTTGGAACCTCGAGCTAGGAAGGCCATATTTATAGGATTCAAGCGTGGTGTCAAGGGATACAAGCTTTGGGATCCAGTTGATAAGAAGATTATGCTGAGTAGGGACGTCACGTTTGATGAGGCTTCTATCTTGAAGCTTCCCAGCTCTCATCAGATGGAGAGCGACCCGACGGAAGAGATATCGCATGTAGTGGAGATCGATGCAGCTCCACATTATTCAGATGGTACAGTATCCATGCAGGTGCCGACTGAGGTGACGCCAGGCGAGCACGACGGTGACACAGGGGATACGAGTACTGATGTGCAGGATCAGGGACCGACGGTTCAGGTTCAGGATTCTATTGTGGTTCGGAGACAGAGGAGAAACATACAGATGCCAGCACGGTATGCCGACACAGTTGCATATGCACTTCCGGTGGAGAGTATCGATGAGATGGTGTCTACTACATTCAGAGAGGCTGAGCAGAGTTCGGAGGCTGATTCGTGGCAGGTGGCTATGCAGGCAGAGATGGAGTCCCTTCATAAGAACGATACATGGGAGCTTGTTGAGCTTCCAAAGGGGTGAAAGGCAATTGGTTGCAAGTGGGTATACACGAAGAAGGAGGGCATTGAGGGCACTCCATTAAGGTTCAAAGCTAGGTTGGTTACGAAGGGTTATGCACAGGAGGAAGGTATTGACTATAATGAGGTTTTCTCTCCGGTGGTGAAGCATTCTTCGATTCGGATTTTGCTAGCTTTGGTGGCACAGTATGGATTAGAGTTAGATCAGTTGGATGTGAAGACGATATTTCTTCATGGTGATCCTGTTGAAGAAATATATATGACTCAGCAATTGGGATTCCGAGCTGCAGGGAAGGAAAAATTAGTCTGTAGATTGAAGAAATCGCTATACGGTTTGAAACAGTCTCCTCGACAGTGGTATATGCGATTCGATGGTTTTATGATTGGTCATTCGTACACTCGGAGCCAGTTTGATCCTTGCGTATATTTTCGCAGGTGTATACATCTATTTGTTACTTTATGTCGATGACATGTTGGTTGCCTCTACTTCCAGGTCGGCTATAGATGAGTTGAAAGTTCAGCTTTCAAATGAGTTTGAGATGAAGGACTTGGGTGAGGCAAAGCGCATTCTAGGGATGGAGATCGGCAGAGATAAGAAGAAGGGCAGAATTTGTTTGACACAGGTGGCTTATTTGAAGAAGGTTCTACAGCGATTCCATGTTAGCATGGATACGAAGCCAGTTAGTGTACCAATGGGAGCCCATTTGAAGCTTTCAGTTGGTCTTTCACCGAAGTCAGTTGAAGATAGAGAGTTAATGTCGAAGACTCCATATGCGAGTGCAGTTGGGAGCTTGATGTATGCGATGGTATGTACGAGGCCAGATTTGTCACAGGCGGTAAGCATGGTATCGAGATACATGCACGATCCAGGAGTGGGTCATTGGGACGCCATGAGATGGATTTTGAGGTACATTCGAGGTACGCTCAATATTGGTTTGGTTTATGAGCGGGACACTACAGGTGGCCAGCTATGCATTGGTTATGTTGATTCGGATTATGCTGGGGATTTGGATAAGCGTCGGTCTACTACGGGGTATGTGTTTACTTTGACCCGTACACCGGTGTGTTGGAGAAGCACCTTACAGTCGACAGTGGCTTTGTCTATGACGGAGGCAGAGTATATAGCAGTTACGGAGGCTGTGAAGGAGGCTATTTGGCTTCGAGGACTTTTGGAGGAACTTGGTATATCGCAGAGGTCAGTTACTATTCATTGTGATAGCATGAGTGCTATCTATTTGGCGAAGAATCAGGTTTTTCATGCGAGGACGAAGCACATTGACGTTCGATATCACTTCGTTCGGGGTGTTCTTGAAGATGGTGATGTGGAAATTGTGAAAGTTCACACGAAGGATAATCCGGCGGATATGCTCACTAAGGTGGTTCTGAGCAACAAGTTTGATCATTGTAGAAACTTGTTGCACATTCGTGATTGTTGAGGCCGTTGGCGGCCATTTGAGTGAACTACGTTCGGCTTGATTCCTTGGGCAAGAGGATACGTAGGCAGTCATGTTTGATTCAGCCGGTTTGGATTAGTTGATGGGGGTGAGATTGTTTGAGCTCTCGTTCGGGTTCTCGACTTGTTGTGGATTGAGTTCGTACTGGGCACAACAAGTGGGACATTTGGTTGCTTTAGTGTCGGCTCAGTTTTAGGATAACTTCACCGAGGTGGAGAATTGTGAGTAGGGGGGCCACACGGTAACTTCACCGTGATTGGTGGTGGCTTCTTTCCACATGAGACAGCGGCCCGAAGACTCGTTTCCGCTGTGAGATGGCCCACCCGATTAAACCCTTACTCCGTTGCTATAAATACCCAGTTAAAGTTTATTTCGGCTGTGCAAGCTAAGGAGGTTTTGGGTGTTAGGCGGCTGCAGCAAAGCTGTGCAAGCTAAGGAGGTTTTGGGTGTTAGGCGGCTGCAGCAAAGAGAGCACGGAATTTGTTTTGTCAGCCGACTGCGGGAGAAAATTTGTGCAGTCTCTTCTTTGGTTTTTTTGCGCATCCTTTTGTAGAGAGAGTTTGTAAGGGATTTGAGAGAGTTTGTTTGAGGGTTTAGATTGTGAGTAATTATAAACCCTAGTTGTATTCTCTCCCTCTATTAGTGGATCTCTCCCCCTCCTTGCCCCGTGGACGTAGGCAATTTGTCGAACCACGTAAAATTGGTTGTACTGCTTTTGTGTGATTTGTAATAGCTTTTTAGGATCCCTCGACAGGTCAGTCCTAGAACTGATGAGAGGAAGAGCCGATATCTCACTTTGTTGAGATATCCGCTTCAGATTCTTGTTTCCTTGGTGAGACAGGAATTCTTATTACGATTCTGACTCTCTTATTCGTGCTGCCGAAGTGCCCCAAACAAAAAACCGACACTGCCCCGAATTGCCGCGGGCGCGCAACATGTACATGTGTAGGTTCTTTGTTATATAATATATATATATTATATATATATATATATATATATATATATATATATATATATAATATATATATGAGCAGGGAATCTTTCTCTGTTTTTTCAGCTCAAAAAAAAAAAAAAAAAGCAATGCCTTGTAAATTCGTACCTTTAGGCTTAATATTTTGAATCATCCATTTGCATCAAATAGCTGCGCAAGTTCAATTTCACAGCAAGCCATACAGCATGTTTGACATCTAAAGTAGGGTGAAGCAGTATTCTCATCTCTTAGCAATATATATAGCAAGAACCTCTGGCAATATAAAGCACAGAAACTCTTTTAACTGTTAAAAAAAAATTACTGTACTAATTAATTGGAAATTTTGATTTCTCCCCCCCCCCCCCCCCCCCCCCCCCCCCCACCCCCTTCAGTCTTTCGGAGACCTATACATTTAAATAATTACACTCATAAATCACAATTTATAACTTACAACAAATTCAATGCTCAATCAAATTTGATCAGGAGCAATCTTGACCTCTCTCTCACTCTACACTAACTTTTGATGGATTTCTCACTAACTCCCTAGCTTTCAACAATGTATCCTTAAACCTTGCCAAATTTATTCTCACATTCTGTCCATCAGTATAAACTGGCTTACTCACATTATACCCTTTCAAATTAATACCCCAGGGATCAGTTAACACTGGATGGTCCTTAGGATACTCATTGCACAATGAACTCTCCTCAACCTCAATATGATACTCTACATACTGAAGGCCCAATCTCTTAGCGGGCCGAGCGTAGTAGGCCGTTGAGGCCCAATCAAGGCCCCACGGCACGACCTGAAGAACCACGGCCTGTGGCCGTAGAAACATGAGGTTCGTCAGCCCTGCGCCGTGAACACCCATCAGAACGTTGCACCCGTTTACGAGCTCCGTGAAGTTCTGCAGGTTTCTTACTACTTCCTGAGTTGCGACTATTACTCGGAACCCGACTTCCCTGGCAAGCTCCGCTACGTTTTCCTCGTTGAGTATTTTTCGGGATTTTCTTCGGGATAAGAGGACCATTGTCGGGCTGTTGGTTGGGCCCATTGGGCCGTTTCGGAGCGAAAATGCGGCGTGGAGGAAGTTGCGGAAGTCAGCCGTGGAGACGCCCCCAGGTTCGGAAGTGGAGTTACAGAGGAGGTTCCCGTGGTACCTGAGGCCAACCACTGCGGCTGGGAAGCAATGTACTTTCTCGTCCGCGGCGGAGGAGGATGTCGAGGAGGCGACGATGATGTCGAAAGAAGAGAGACGAGCCAGGATTCTACGGTATTTCTTGACCCAGTATTCCTCGTAATCCGTGATTACGAGCTGCGCACGGGAGCGTAAGTGGGAGGAAGTGAGGAAGAGAGGGATTATGACGTCGTTTACGTCGTGGAAGAAGTTTCCCGCAAAACCGCGCCGTTAGAGAAAACGACGGCGGGGACCGAATGATTGATATCGCAAGGCGGAGGGTGTTGCGCGTTCGGAATGATCGTAACGGGTGAGGTACGAGCCATTGCGAAAGTGTCGGTCTTTCTGGCATACGGACGGACCTGCAGCAATGTATTCCGATTCTGTCGAGAAAGTTGCTGACCCCCGGTGAGATAGAGTACGGTGGGAGACTTTCCGGTGGTCAATCTCACGGAATCTGACGTGATGCACGTGTCGGATTCCGTATCTGAGATGCACGTAACCCCGTTTCGACTGAGCTCCCGTCGAGCACTTCCTGTAAAAGCACGGAAGTGACTTGTTAGAAAAATGTTGGGAAGTAGGATAACACCCAAAACCAACATTTGAAGCAAGCACTTTACGATCAACATTGTACTAGCTCAACGACCCATGTCAACTTGCTTTATACAGTACAACTAACTAGAGAATTGGAAAAGTTTCTTTGATTTGGTTTAGGGATGGCAAAATGGACCCAAAACCAATTGTCCACTCATACCCATCCGTCAAATGAACCATCCAAACCCACCCATTTAGTTAAATGGGTCATAAATGAGTGGGTATAATTTCTATTAAAGATAAATGTGTCATTAATGGACGGGTTATTACCCACCCATTTACCCGTTTAGATGGATATTGTTTTAAAAACACCCTCAACGTTTCAACAACGGGTTATTACCCACCCATTTACCCGTTTAGATGGATATTGTTTTAAAAACACCCTCAACGTTTCAACAATTACAAAACTTATTTTTAAAAGTTAAAAAAGATGGATATTGTTTTAAAAACACCCTCAACGTTTCAACAATTACAAAACTTATTTTTAAAAGTTAAAAAATATAGAAAACACTTAAAATGACTAAAACCCCTTAAAATTTTGAGATTTGCAAAAAAACACCCTCAAAGTTTAAAATATTATAAAAACGTCCTCAAGAGTTAAAAATTATAAAAAAACTATCAAAATTTTCTAACCTCACAGATAACACATGAAATTCAAAAATTACCAACAGCCCCCTGAAATTTTATAATTTGCAAAAAATACCCTTAAAAGTTGTAGAAAATGAGAAAAACACCCTCAAGACTTCAAAATTACCAAACAATCTTAGAGTTTTCTGAACTTGCAAATGACATATGAAATCTAAAAAATTTCAATAGTCCCCTATAAATTTAAAATTTGCAATTAACACCCTCAAAGTTTTAAATTTTTAGAAAAACACCCTCCATAGTTTAGAATTACAAAATCATCCTGAAATTTCAAAACCTACAAATGACACATGAAATCAAAAAATTACTAGCAACCCCCTATAAATTTATAATTTACAAAAAGCACCCACAAAGTTTAAAAATTACAAAAAGCACCATTAAGAGTTCAAAACCACAAAACAATCTTAGAATTTTCTAAACTTGCAAATGACACATGAAATCTAAAAAATTTCGGTAGTCCCCTATAAATATCAAATTTGCAATTAACACCCTCAAACTTTTAAAAATTATAAAAAACACCCTCAAGGATAATATAAATATAAAAAATAAGCGCTCACAATTCTTCGTCGACAGGAGATATATGCGTGTGCGGCCAAGTGTAATTTGCAAAACTTGCGTCTATTGCGCGAGAAACAGGAGAGAAAGAGAGCGTGTATTGTTATTCGGCGTGATAAAAAAATTTCAAGGAGAATTACTTGGGGACACTCTGTAATTAAGAACAAACATGGAAAAAATAATAGACTTTAACCAACAACAAATATGAAGAAATGAACAATTACGCTCATAGCTCATGGATTTTGAACAAAGGAAAGAAAAACACCATCTCTCTCAAAGCAGTTCACGCAAGGCTAAGGAGGTGCAGGATTTTTAAGATCCTCGGAGTGGGACGTGATATTTTTACCACATTTTGTTGACAAATTTAGACGGCAAAAAGATTTAGTTAGGATTTTTTTATGGAATGTGTGGTGCGTGGGTTTTTAGAGCCAAATTTAGTTAGGATGTTTTTATCAAATAGAGCTATTAGGTAGTGTGGTTTTGTAAACCGTGCAAGGTGGGGTTTTCTGAAGATATTTTGTCATTTCTTTGCTCTGTCCTAATTTGACCCTAAGATGAAGAAGAACTGAATTAAATGTTGAGGGTACTCCGGTATTCTGAAAATTTTGACACATGACCAAAGTAAGAGCTTTTTTTAAATAACCGAGCAGGCAGTAGACTAGACTTGTTACGAGTCCATCTCTTCTTTTGCTCAGCCCCGTCATCATTTACTTCTTTTGCTCACAATTCTGTCCTAATTTTCCCAAGTAGTCAATTCAATTGAGAAAGAAATGTTTACAGAAAACCCCCTGAAAGTTTGTAGAAAACCCCCTAAAAGTTTACAAACCCCCCTGAAAGTTTACAGAAAACCCCCTGAAAGTTTGCAGAAAACCCCCTAAAAGTTTACAGAAAAACCCCTAAAAGTTTAGAGAAAACCCCCTAAAAGTTTGTAGAAAACCCCTTGAAAGTTTAGAGAAACCCCCTGAAAGTTTACAGAAAACCCCTGAAAGTTTAGAGAAAACCCCCTAAAAGTTTGCAGAAAACCCCCTGAAAGTTTGTAGAAAATCCCCTGAAAATTTACAGAAAACCCCCTGAAAATTTACAAAAAACCCCCTAAAAGTTTACTAAAAACCCCCTGAAAGTTTACAGAAAACCCCCTAAAAGTTTACAAAAAACCCCCTGAAAGTTTACAGAAACCCTCCAGAAAGTTTGTAGAAAATCCCCTAAAAGTTCGCAAAAAATCTCTTGAAAGTTTGCAAAAAAACCCTAAAAGTTTGTAGAAAATCCCCTGAAAGTTTGCAGAAAACCCCTGAAAGTTTGTAGAAAACCCCCTGAAAGTTTACAGAAAAACCCCTAAAAGTTTGCAGAAAACCCCCTAAAAGTTTATATAAAACCCCTAAAAGTTTGTAGAAAACCCCCTGAAAATTTGCAGAAAAACCCCTGAAAGTTTACAGAAAAGCCCCTGAAAGTTTACAAAAAACCCCCTAAAAGTTTACATAAAAACCCTAAAAGTTTGTAGAAAACCCCCTGAAAGTTTGTAGAAAAACCCATGAAAGTTTACAGAAACCCCCCTGAAAATTTACAGAAAACTCCTTGAAAGTTTACAGAAAACCTCCTAAAAGTTTACAGAAAACCCCCTGATTGTTTGCAGAAACCCCCCAGAAAGTTTGTAGAAAACCCCCTAAAAGTTTGCAAAAAACCTCTTAAAAGTTTACAAAAAACCCCTAAAAGTTTGCAAAAAAACCTCTGAAAGTTTGCAAAAAATCCCCTAAAAGTTTGCAGAAAACCCCCTAAAAGTTTACAGAAAACCCCCTCTAAAAGTTTGTCAAAAACCCCTAAAAGTTTACAAGTAGATCACTGAAACTTACATATATATAGAAGCATTATAATCATAACTAAATGGGTTATTGGGTCACCCATGAACCACCCATTTAGTAAATTGGTGGTTGAGAAGTGACCCATTTAGCAAATGCTAAATGGGTCATAAATGGTCAAGTGGTCATAAATGTGCCCATCCATTTATGATCCAACCAATACCCAACCAATACCCAACCAAAACCACCCATTTGACCTCCCTAATTTGGTTCCATGAGTTCCGCTAAAACATGAGAGATTAAGATTAGCATTTAGGACAAGCATGATCATTTTGCGCATGACAAGCCTAATGAATGGAGAATGTGGATAAGTACTCAAACGTGGGCTGACGTTAAAGAGACGCTATATATATGTAGCTAATTTGTCCCCCCACCCAGTTAGAATTGGGCCCTTTTGCTTCATAAACAAGCAAATTAAATAGAGCCTAGCAAAAGATAGATGATCATAACATAAAGTTCGTTCAATTTCATTTGGTGGAGAACCATTGTCCATGCTTAGACATCGATGGAAAGGGAACGAAATATGGTGGGGGCTCACTTGCTCTTGATGGTTGGCAAGAATGTGGGCTAGTGCTCAACAACTCTTTATTGTTTAAATTCTATTCTTGAACTCTTTTGAGCTAGAATACAAGTAATACAACAAAAGGTGCTACCCTCATCATGATAATGAACATCCACTGAACAATTAATAAAATTGTAGGTAGCTTTCTTTCCACGTGTATTGGTACCAACTGTATTGATGAATTATTTCGATTGGCTTCTATTTTCCTTTTCCCCTAGGAGAAAAACAAAAGGAGAAAGTTGATGTATTTAGGCTTGACCTAATCTATTGCCCTTTTTACTCGAACAAACTTCAATATCTCTCTTTTTAACAGTGAAAAGTTACATAGTAGACAGATCAACGGAGCGCTGCTATGTGGACCTTAAATATGGGACCATTAGAACCTGCGCATTTTACGCACTTTCCATTCAATTTGAGGCAACAAACTACGTTCAATCAGCCAAAAAAAGCAATAGTGATTTTCTAACAGAAAATCAAGAGAAGGAAAGGGTGTGACTAAATATGGAACGCCCACATACAATGTGGCCCTCTTCTGAGCTTCCGTAATCAATTTGTTTAGCATTTTGTCGCGCTTCTTGGGCTCATTTGGATCCCTTCGTTATCAAAGTATCAATCAGTAGCTGTGTTTTTTTGGGGGGCTCAATGGAGCAAGACGATGTTGACGGCAATGGCTGGGGTCCAAGGAGAGCAATGTATTTGGATCCTCTCGAAACAGTATTTTAGATGGTTACGCACGGTTAATTCCTTATACAACTAAAGCTATCGTATTACGTGGATACTAGTACCAGGATAAAATTATAACCATCAACGGTATTGCAACTTGCGGATGTTTTAATACGTTGAATGGAATTCTAAGACGGTATCGGACCGGTTCACGTTCGAATCTGATAGTGCGATAATTTAAAGTGCTAAAAAAGTATTGATTAGAAAAATAGTTCAAGGCACATGAAAATGGTGTTCAACCTGTGAAGACACATTAGAATATAAAACTATAACTCTCAACCTCGATACACCCATTAAATTTTGGCGCCAAGGAATAAACTTAATTTGAGACATTTTTCACTGTTCAAGACAATTCATAACAGTCTGCTAAACAATTGGTGATTGTTATGAAGATTGAAATATTTCTTCAAAAAAATAAATCGGTTGGTGGAGAGGATCCCACTTCGGAGAGCAATGATTTCTCTACTTAGAAACTTGTAGACTTAATTAAGAGAATGACATTATTGTACAGTTGAATGTTTGTGTTTGATTATTATGAGTCTATAATGATGTTGGTAGCCTTTCCTTCAAATTTACGCACTCAAATGATAATGATATGCACTCACTATTGCAGCCACTTAAAGTCCTAAAGGCCATTTAGATGTCCTTTTGCAATTAATTGATCTATGGAATATGTGAACATTCTCAATATTAATCTAATTGATCTATGGAATATGTGAACATTCTCACTATTAATCTGTCCAAACTCCATACTTTTTCTAAGAAGCAATTTCATCATCGAACTTTTCTTTTCCCTTACACTATGAAGATAGAAAGTTTTTTTGTGTGAATAAAAATCCCAAATTTTAGACTAGAGGTGCTCGGTTTCCACGAAATTAGAAATTACTGTAATATTTAAAAAAGAAATCATTTTTTCATGCATTTAATTATGCGAATTAATCATCCATCATTGGTTATATATCATACTATCATCTTACTTATATCACTATATTAGTTACCTATAATATATACTGATATAGTACTATAGTATGACTATTATATACTATATATCATTATATATATCATATCAGGTACTTCAGTATATCATTTATATTAGTATATCAGAAGCTAGATAAAATTTTTGAAAGATCCGTAATCTCCCAATATTCGCACACAATTGGAAAAAAAGTCAAGAGGCTTAACAAAAAAAATAAAAAAAATAAAAAACGAAACTCAATAGATAAATAGTGTAGAAGATAACCTCTTACTAATCTCCGAAGAAGAAACCCCGAAAACTCAGTAACCTCCATGCCAGTCTCCTTGCTTCCTAGGCTCCAACTGCTCGATAACCTCGGTACTACTTGCAATTTCCATGAATATCCAGAGAGAGAGAGAGAGAGAGACACAGAGAGAGAGTGGAAAAAGTTAAAAACCAATAAAAAAATCAAAAATTGAATTACGAAAAAGATTACATCAGGGAATTAAAGATAAATGATAACGTACATAAGGGAGGCGAGACGTCGCATCGAAGGAGAGTAACATAGACGAGAGGGAAGAAGATGAAGCCGAGAGCCACCCCTCTGGCTTTAGACCCCTTAGCCATTGCAAAAGATCGAGTTTGCTACCCGCGACCAAAGCTAGCTTGAATTGCTAACAACTTGATATATAAGCCATTGGCTACTCCACAACACTATAGAACGAGAAGACCCCAACATCTCTCTCTCATCTCTCTCTCTCTCTCTCTAGTTGGGGAGCAGTCCCAGTCCAAAATTTTTCAAAGGATTAATATTATTCACTTGTGTGCACGTCGTGCATGGAATTTTTTTTTTTAAGGGCTCGGGGCCCCTTAACCTTGACGTGGAATTGCCACGTAGGGAGATAGAGAAGTACTAGCAACCAAATTTGAGTGAGGGAGGGAGAATCAAGATGGCCTCCATTTGGGGGTTGACGATGACTAGCTAACAACAAGCCCACTTGGGGGAGTGATGGTGTGGTGTGTGCTCCTCATCACTGTACTTCCTCACACGGTGGGATATAATATTATTCCTGGCTCGCACCACCTAGAAAAATATTTTTAGTGATTTTTCAATTGGTTAGTGAGACCAAGATTCTAATCCGCTATCTATCGAAAATTTTTTATTGAAAAGGCTTTCATGATCATATCGCTTTTATATAATAATAAAAAAAGGTTCTTCTGATACTAGCTAGTCCTATTTAATCTTTAATGTTTTGGAAAGTAGTCCAAGAATTTAAATTGTTTAGCGTTCCGTGCGAAAATTATGTACTCATTTCAGACCTACAAGTGTGTAATTTATCATTCGCTACTTTTGAAGATAATTATTTTGTTTAAGTATCCTATCTATGTCTCTATTAATAATTATTCCATCTAAAGTGCGTCTAAGAATTCAGGTCTAAGGTTTAAACTAACGAGCGGAGGAAGAGGGGGGGAAAAGGAAACGAGTTTGGGTTTTGGAATAAATTAAACAAAAGGATATAATTGAAACCCACGACAAAAAAGTAAGCTGAATGAAATATTCCCCTCCAAATCAAACTGCAGCTAAAGTACAAGACTAAAAATTAAAATAACTAATAAGAATACTTGAGGGACTAATATCAATTTCAATGATTTGACGGACTAACTTTCTCATAATATTGAAAACCGATCTTTTTTTTAGCAAAAAACAAGGGTTGAAACCCCGTTCATTAAAAAACCAAAAATACAAAAGATTGTTTAATTACAAAAGTTAAGACACGAACTGTGTCTAACGTGTTGTAATATAGAAAATATAATTTCTACTAGTAGTGATGTATAACTTTCTTCTTCCAAAGATCCGTGAAGTTGAAGAGAGAGCCTTACCGTCATTCAACATTGACACAGATATTTGGAAGAACCAAAGCCAGTCATACATGTGCGTAGTAGAAATTAAACTTTCTATAATCAACATGAAGAAAGATAACTAAACAAGTATATATACAAAAGAAAGAACTAACAGAATGATGTTCTAGAACATATCCTCCTGCCTAAAACACTTGCTCTGGATATTGGTACGTAGTTCCTCTAACCGAGCTGATAGAGCCCTTGCCGTAGCACCTCTTCCATTCCTTGACCAAGCATACAATCCAAAAATCGTCTGATTAACAATCTTCTTGTAAGAGAAACTTGTTTTATCAAATATAGCTTTGTTCCTGCTAATCCAAATGTTCCACCAGATATATATATGAAAAGAAACTACGCCAAATATATCCAGCGCTTCCACAAAGATTATTAAGAATTGATAATAAAGCTTCAAGAGATGATGGCCATATGAAAGGAAGATAGTAGTTTTTGAAATGCATCCAAACTTGGGAAGCTATTGAGCATGAGAAGAACAAATGGTCCCTAGTTTCCGATTGCGAACTATAGAAGATACACATGGAGTCTCCTACCCAGCCTTTCATCAAGAGGTTATCCTTTGTGTGCAGTTTATTTCTGCATAAAAGCCAGATAAAGAAGTTGATTCTAGATGGGGTTGCATTCTTCCATATAAGTTTGTAATTGGATGATAAAAGACCTCTCCGATTAAGGAACTGATAAAAGGATTTCACAGAGAAAATTCCTGCACTTGTAAGCAACCATGTGGGATTATCAGATTGAGTAGAAATATGAAACATGCTTAGGAAATTCATGAAATTGGCCTTTCCATTCGAGAAAAAGAATGGATACATCTCCTCAACAGAGGTCGCCAATGTTAAGTGGAATCTCTCCAAAAACCTTGACTGCAAATAGGTACATTTGGAGATAAAGAAAGCTTATACAAGGAAGGGTAGAGACTTGCTAAGGAGTTAGACCATGTCCACTTGTCCTCCCAGAATCTAATCTTATCACCTAAACCAAGAGACCATGAAATATTATGAAGAAACTCATTCTTTAGGGATATAATTGCATTCCAAAAAGATGAATATGATGTTCTTGCATGCATCATTTGGAAGGAAAGTCCTCTGTTACAATATAGTTGTCGAAGAAATAAGCCAGTGTTAGATGTTTGATCAAGACACTTCCAAAGCCATTTGGATAACAAAGCATTATTGAAGAGATGGATATCCTTAACTCCCAAACCTCCCTCTAATTTGCTTAAACAGACTTGTCTCCAATTTACTAAACACTTACAGCCACTGGCTTTATCCACTCCTGTCCATAGGTAGCATTTTCTTATTTTATCAATGTTTTTGATGACCCAATTTGGTAATCTGTAGAAGGACATGTAATATAAAGGAATTGAAGTAAGGACTGAGTTTAGAAGAACTAACTTCCCTCCATAAGACAAAAAATTCCTCTTCCAAGATGCAAGCTTCTTGTGGAGATTGTCAAAGATAGGCTGCCAATCAGATCTTTTCAGTTTTTCATATTTCAGAGGCATACCTAGATATTTAATAGGTAGGGAGTCCACTTTGCAACCAAGGGCATTTGAAAGAATCTGTTGTTTCATAGGCTTTTTCCCAAAGTAAACAAGGGAAGATTTAGAGTAATTAATGGCTAGGCCAGATACTTCCTCAAAAAATAGAGGATAGTCTTCAACACAGAAATGTCCTTGGAAGAACTCTTGACAAAAAGAAGTGTATCGTCTGCAAATTGTAGGATTCTCAACTGATTAAGAGGTGGCTTGATTCTTAGATTGGTCAAAATACTGTCTCCAACATTGTTATGTATCATCTTGTTTAACACATCAGCTGCTATATTGAATAGCATTGGAGATAAATGATCTCCTTGCTTAAGACCCCTTTTACAAGAAAAGAACTTTGAAGGCCTACCATTAACTTTGACAGAACACTAAGAGGAAGAGATAATATGATATATCCATGTGCACCACCTACTACCAAAGCCTCTGGCTTTGAGCAAATTAATAAGAAAGTTCCAGTTGATAGAGTCAAAAGCTTTAGTGAAGTCAAGCTTAAGCATAGCCACTTCAATTTTCCTTTTAGAACAATAATGAATCATCTCTCATTGGCCATCACAATAGAATCAAGAGTAGATTTCCCTGACTGCAAAGCTGTTTGGGTAGCTGAAACCAAATTTGGAAGAAGAGGAGCCAATCGGTTAGCAATGGCCCTGGAGAAAATTTTGAAGATACAATTGATTAAACTGATAGGTCTGAAGTCCTTGACTTGAACACTATCTTTGATTTTTGGAATGAGGGTGATGAATACTTTGTTCATTCTACATAAGCTAGATGGATTCTGTTGAAAAAAAGTCATCAAATTTAACAAATTAAATTTGATAACATCCCAAAAGGACTGATAAAAAGACATGGAGAAGCCATCGGGACCTGGAGCTTTGTTAACATTCATGCCAAAGACTGCTTTTTTGATTTCATCCTCAGAAAAAATATCTTCTAAGGAGGAAAGATTTAGTTCCTCATGAGGGTAAAGATGAGACCAATTCATACTAGTATTTGGAGTAGAATCCTGGCCAAAAATGGAAATGTAGTAATCACAAAAAGAGTTTAAAATATGTGTCTGATGATTGATAGATGCAATGAAATTTGCATTTCTATGGTAAGTAGCAGTTTTATGAAAGAAAGCTGTATTTGCATCTCCCTCCTTTAACCATTGAATTCTAGACCTCTGTTGCCAATAAATTTCTTCTTCTTGAATAATAGAGGAAAAGGAGGAATGGAGAGACTTTCTGTCATTGAATTCAGACTCAGATAGCGGCCTTTGTTCCTCCAGTAGGTCTAAGGAGTTTATTTTAGAAAGAAGATCAACTTCCCTAGAAGAAATAGATCCAAGGAAATTTTTTGTCAATCTTGTAAAACTCTAACACGTATGCATTTTTTTAACGTGTTCGTCACGGAATTGTCATATGCATGTTCTATCAGATTATGTCGAAAATAACCTATTTGCATAGATGCATCGAAGGATTGTCGGTTGTGTTTGTTGCAATTTTCCCCTTTTCTAAAAGGTACCCACGAATAAATTAATGGTATATGCTTTGTAAATTATATGTGAAGAGGGACATCGGTATGCTATCGGATAAAGGTTTAATTAAGCCTAGTGGGCATAATCAGATGATTCTAGATCCTACGTGACTCGTATCTCAAGAGTCAAAATGTGCTCAAATGCATGTTTTAATAATTTCCCAAGAATAAGCCAAGATTACCAGGAGATACAAGTTTAATTAAGCGTTTCCAAGCCTTACTTTGTTAATAAATTCTTTTTAAAACTAAAGTATTTAAGCTTTTTGCGCACCTTTTCCCTCTTAAAACAAACTTACAAAAAAGCAATTGAATAAATTTAAAGTTTAGCTCTTTGTTGCTTTCAGTAAGATAAATATCAACAATTGAGGCCTGGCCTAGTCGCTATCAAGCATACATCGTGATATCTTTCCTGCCTGGAAAAAGAATATACAAAAATTGTTAAGAAACCTTGTGAAAAGCTAGTCCTACCAACAAAATCATGTGGTAGTAATGCAAAGCAATTATAATTAACTTTTGTTCAATGCGGTGTCTAATGAGTTTATTTCCATTTTATGATGAGCGAGTGATTGGCTAGCACTATGGGGGGATATAATGCTGCGTGCAACTAACAGATCAAGCCTAATTCCTCTCTCATGATTAGCTAACATCATGGAGAATAACCTTACATGATTCCTAAAAGATGTTATTTCTTGATGGTTCAGTTTAATTTAGATTTTTGACATTGAATTTAGTCTAGTTTTCACTCTACAATGTAGTCCTAGCAGTAGATCTCAAGTAGAATAGAGGCCTGCAGTAGATCTCAAGTTATTCTGCAGCTCCATTGGAAATCTATCAATAGCGCAATGCCCAAAAGAATCACAGGACTTCTGCACCTTAATAATTCAGCTCATATAGATTAAAATAAAATAAAAAAAATTCTTCATCCAACCTTTAAAGGGAAAAATGAAAAGAAAAGCACCTAAACAAATTTGTATCTCATTATTCAACCATCTAGTTCTTTTAAGGGTCATTTGCTCCATTTAATAAACAAATATGAAGAGTCTAAAGAAAGAAAATTCCCAAATTATCCATATTTACCCAAAACTACAGTTGGAATTGTAGAACATCAATAAGAAACCGAATCTTTCTTATTTTGAAGCATAACATGCTTTTAACCGTACCATAACTATGAGCTACCAGCTCTATACCAAAAAGAGCTACCCAAATATGGGATGCATTATGAGCTTACTTACACCCATATTTTTTTTCCCCTTATGAAAATGTGCAAAATTAAACTATATTATCGGGTTCGAACATAGAATTAGATGATTATTCGTTCACTATTTGACCCATTCACATAGGATCTCACACTACAAGTTAAACTAAACCCTTGAATCTCCATCAAGATAGATACACACAACATTAATTAGCTGGACAAATTATAGAGATAGAAATGATAAATAGTCTCTTTCGTTATTCTTGAACTCATGCTAAATTTCTCATCCTTTCCTAATTTCAGCTAGCACCTTTGCAGCTGCTGAATTCTCCGAGTCTCTAATTCTTGACTTCAGATCACCAACTTCGAAGTACTCCTTGTTTGAAATCCTAACTTGAACAGAACAGGCAAATTTCTTGTCATGAGGAGGCCCTTCTTCTCCTTCCATTCTGTACATAAATTGGTAGACATGAAAAATCTAATGAATTTGTTTGCATTATCAGTAAATTTTATTTTCAAAAAATAACTTTAAAAAAGATGTACAGGAAAATGTTATGTAGATCATGAAATATGTACATACATGTACTCTGAATGAAGAGAATGGATGAGCTAAACCCAATACATGTTACGTGTAAGGTTTTCGTGACACAATAAGATCCGAAATACTGAAGCAACCAAACATATAAGACCCAGTTGATGCTTAAGCGGTATATTATATTTGCTTTGTATAAATGTATACATTGCCATAATTGCCTATGATCTAAATATTGCAACCCAACAGTATACAATTTATCGCATATTTACCATTATGCATACAAACTTCAAGTCTTAGATTTTTTTCTCGAATATATTACACATAATAGAGTTAGAAAATGTATGTATTAAAAACCATCGGCTTTTCTCCATAAATATATTGTGCACATTAGTACATCCAGCTGATGCTTGAGAACCATTATATTTTGAAGAATTAGGATTCTTTGTACTAGATATTATTGAAGTCAGATGCATCAGTTAATAGAAGCCAATATGAAAAATTAGAAGGTTTATCAATTTTGAAGATATTATCTCATCTTTTAGGTTCAAGATGGTGTTACATAGATGCATGATGTAGGCAACAAGTATCAAGAAGTGACTTACACATGACCTTTTTTGAGTGTTTAAAATATGGACACAAACTTTTAGAACTACTTTCTCTTGGACAATCACAAAGGGAGGATAAGGAAAAGGAAAAAAAAAGATAGTCTTTAACTTTTTTCAAAATTAGAATTTTTAATTTTAGTAGAACTTTTCTTGTAATCCTAACTATAAAAATCAAGCTATTGGCTATGATTTTAATTGATTTAGAAATCTTTATAGAATCCAAGTATCAGGATAGTTTTTATTTTAGTACTATTAGTTTGTAACCTACTACTACTACTGTAACCAATAAATACTAGTTTTCCTTCAAAGGTTTATGTATGTATGTATGTATGTATTTATGTATGTATATATGATTTTCATTAAAAAAAAATTATTCAAATTCTCATGTGAAAAGTACTTTTGAAGGTGTGAGACCTTAATTGGCTTGAGATCATTGACAGACTGTGAGGCCATTTGATCCAGGGAGCCTAGAATCTTAATTTCCTCCTTAATTTTTTGTTTTTCCCTGCTTTTTTGGTCCCCCATCACAAACCTTCTGTTTTTTCTTTTTCCAAAACCATGATCTCTCTTGAGGGATGTTACTTGAGGAATTTAGAGAGACTAGGTTTTATACACGTGCAATGCACGTGGTTAAATATTATGATTAAGTATTTTTTGATTACTTTCTAACTAAAATTTGTTCCTCGGTTCCACTTTAATAGTTTATGTTCACTTTTGTCTCTAAACTAATTTTATATTGTGATTATTTATTTTCTTTGATGTTTGTTTAAATGGGCTACACCCAATTTAAATTTTCATGTTGATATTTGAATTGATAGAAAACAAATATAATTTAAAGCTAATTTAAATTTTCATATTATTTTGACCGACATGAAACCAAGCTTTACTTGAGAAAGTATAATGTTGCAAAAGTAAAAAATATTAAAATAATATTATACAAGGAAGGTGAATATTTAAAACTAATAAGGCAAATTGATTGGTTAAAAGTATGTTTTTTTTTTGTGAATGGAAATTTTTATTCACTACCAAAAATGCGAAAGTTTAGTACACCTCAAGATACTCAGATTAGCACAATATATCTGAGTAACAAACAAAAAGAAATCTACAGACCCCCTTAACAGAGATTACAACTTCCACCTTCAGGGCTATTGAGAACAATATATAATATCTCCATTTTAATTTCTTTGATCACTGCATCCGCACCTTTGCTTTTCTCTTGAAACAGTCTTCTATTCCTTTCTCTCCATAAAATGTAAACTGTAGTGACCATAGCCATTTTCTTAAGTTTTTTGAGTTAAACCCTTACATCTCAGACAGGTAGAGAACCAGTGCACACATTGATTCCAATTACAGGATTTCCATCTACTTCGGAGCCAATCCAACACATCATTCCATATGTAGCATGAAAAGGGACATTCGAAAAACAAGTGATCCCTGGATTCCAACGAAGCAGAGCATAGGCAGCAGGAGTTAGAGTTTGCAATCCCCCACTTCAAAATTCTGTCATGTGTCAACAATCTATCCTGAATTGCTAGCCAGCATATAAAAGAGTGCTTAGGGATATTCAGTCTCTCCCAGATAAGCTTCGACCATGCTACATTATTTGCACTTGGATACAAGCACTTATATAGAGCAGAGAGTTTTATTTTTCCATCCATACTGTAGGAATATATCATATTCTTCAGGTTATCCACCCACACAAAGAAATGGCTCTGTCTCATGTCTTGAGCAGTTGCCTTTACATCCATGAGTCTCCACTCCTTATATTCACATGCCAAATATCTCTGTTCTTCAAATATGTACCATGGATCCACTTAATCCATAACAGCTCCTTGTTTATATAAATATACCATATACACCTCAAGGCAGATGCATAATTCCAAATAGGAGCAGAGAACAGTCTCAATCCTCCCTGTTCCTTAAACATATTTTTCCCATGATACAAGAGGAGTTCTAAATTTTTGAGTTGTTTTTCCCCATAAAAAACCTCTGCACAAAGCATCAACCCTCTGCAAAACCTTAACTGGGAGGATAAAATTTAAGGTCCAGTAAATTTGAATCCCCAGTATCACACTTTTGATCACTTGTATTCTACCTGCATATGAGAGGGTTTTATGTTTCTGCCATGTATTGAATTGGTCTTCTATCTTTGTAAATAAAAGATTACAGTCCAGGTAAGACAATCTCTTGGATACTAGGGGAACACCTAAGTATTTGAAAGGCAGTTCACCCAATTTGAATCCCAATAGGTTGATGATAGAAGACTTTGTTAGATCATCCACACCCCCTAGGAAAATAGAACATTTATCAGGGTTGGCTTCAAGACCTGAAATATTCCCAAACTCTTGGACACACTGGTGCAGTTTCTGTATTGAGTAATGGTCAGCTTTGGAAAACAAAAGGAGATCATCCGCAAAGACCAAGTGAGTGATTTTGAGCCTCTTACATTTAGGGTAAAATTTGAACATCCTGTCATGATATAGAAGATCTAACTTCCTTGAGAGATACTTCATTCCTAGGATGAAGAGATAAGGGGAGAGGGGGTCACCTTGCCTTAAGCCACGTTCACCTTTAAAGTAGCCATGTAGAGATCCATTAAGAGAGAATGAATAGCTTGGTGAAGTGATACATGACATAATCCATTTGATCATAGAGGCTGGAAAACCCAGACCTTGAAGCAAGTCTGAAATGAAACTCCAGCTTATGGTATCGAATGCCTTCCTGATATCAATACTGACCATAGCTCTTGGAGAAATTTGTTTCCTGCTGTAATTCTTGATCAACTCATGTGCAAGCATAATATGGCTTGAAATTTGCCTCCCTTTGACAAAAACACTTTGTGCTTCATTAACAAGGCATCCTATTACTGTTTTCAATCTATTAGCTAGCACTTTTGAGATGAATTTATAAATGCAATTACAACAAGATATTGGTCTAAAGTCAGATGGTGACTTTGGGCACTTTATTTTTGGAATAAGGGAGATAGAAGTAGAGTTCACCATACCAAGCAATTTGCCATTCTTGAAAAACTCATGAACAGCTTGAGTGATTTCCTCTCCAATGGTTGACCAAGAAGATTTGAAGAATGACATACTATATCCATCAGGTCCAGGAGCTTTACTTTCAGATATAGAGAACACTGCTGATTTTATTTCATCATTGGTTACTGGAGCACCAAGGGCAGCAGCCTGTAAAGATGACAAGCAAGGCCCTAACTTTATAATACTCATATCAAGAGGAATTGTGTTCACAGCTATCCCCATAAGCTTTTTGTAGAATGTAACAAATTCATTAACAATTCCCTCAGCCTCAGTGATTCTCTCCCCCAGACTATTATACAGAACAACCACCCTGTTATTATGCTTTCTGGATTTTGCAACGTTGTGAAACAGACTAGTGCACCTGTCACCTTGAAGATTCCATTTAATCCTGGCCTTTTGTTGATAAAATGACATTTCACAATCAATGAGATTATTATATCTTAATAAGAGTTCTTTTTCCTGTGATATAAGCATAGGGTGGAAAGGCTGATTTTGCAGTTCCCTTTGAGTGTCCTCCAAAGCAATTTTAGCTCTTTGAACTTGTTCACTTATATTATAGAAATGTTTCTTGTTTAAAGTTTTAAGAGCCCCTTTCAGCAGTTTGAGCTTTTTGCACACTGAAAACATTTTGCATCCTTGAATAGATTCTTTCCAGACTTCAGAGACTGTGGATACATAGCTATGATGGGTTGTCCACATTTTGAAGAATTTGAAGGGCTTTTTTCCTTGGATATATTCTTCATAGATTGCAATTTGAGCAGGTGAGTGATCTGAGAAACTGGGAAGGAGAAATTCAACATGACTGGCATTGTATGTATTAATCCATGCATCATTAACCAGAGCTCTGTCAAGTCTACACCAGACTCTGGAATCAGCTTCTTTCTTGTTGTTCCAAGTATAAAAACATCCAAGAGTTTTCAGGTGAGAAAGTAAACAATTCTCAATGAAGTCTTTGAAGTCCTTGGTATCAGCCTCAGATAGAATTGAACCCCCTAGCTTCTCCTCATTGTTTATCATAACATTAAAATCTCCACAAAGTAACCAAGGATGATTACCAATACTTTGCTTAATTTGAGTGAGCTCCAACCAAAGATCTCTTCTAGCTTCCATCTGATTGAAACCATAGACTGAAGTAATGATACAGCTAACTTTTCCATCAATTGATTTAACTGTACATGTAATGTGTTGATCAGAAGATTTCAAGAATTGAACCTCCAAAACATCAGGGTCCCATAGTATAAGAATTCTTGCTTTGCCTGAACTCCTGA